TAGGAAATAGTTCTTACCACATTAAGATAATGCCATGATATCACCATGTTAATGCATTGTCTTGATTACATTTGTGGTGACACCTGTTAGAGATAGCTGGAATGCCATCGGACAGCTTCTCTACAGAAGTAATGGAACAAACTCTACTGTTATTCAGAATTCATTTTTTTTATTTTGTGCTGTTTTATTTTTATAATATACTCCTGGTGAAGATGCAATAAAATGATGCTGAAACGCATCAGTGAGTAAACGTATTACCAGTTTTAAATTGCTACCTTAATCCATGAATCGAGAAACGAGGACCACTCAACAAGTTTCATCAACCGCTTATCTTTTACGGTCACGAAGGTAGAAGCATCAGACAGTACTTCTAACGTTCCCTGTCCTGGGCCAGATTTTGAGTTTGTACAGAAGACAACCCAAATCTGGACCAGAGTTATTCAATACACTTGATCCAGGTTATTCTTGGCCGTCGTTGCGTCTTCGGCAGACAGGTGGGCACTGTTTCGCCTTCATTCAGAAAGGCATTCGCATGAAGCGCTTAGACCATCGCAGCTGGAACTTTTCAACCTGGAGAAGCAACGGCTGCACACTAAGGCTCTCTTGGATGTCCATGTGCTGAAACCTGTCGATAGACGTCAGCCCATTGAAAATGGTCTCAGAAATTCCATTTCAGCGGTTTGTACCCAAGGTCAAAGTTATGCTTCACGATTCTAAATCGTAGGTGAGCATCCGGATGAAGGTCAGTTTTAACACAGAGAGCTTAGTCTTTAGATTCCATTCTGCTTCAGCTGCAGCGGTTCAGACAGTTCAGAGCACAACTGACCATTTCAATTCTACTGTGGACCTTTTTCTCATTTTCCTTCCCCAGTAAACATGTCCTTAAGGTGTGAACTTCTCCAGCTCTTTCACTTCCTCCTTTCAATCCAGCTGCTTCTCCATAAATTTACACAGTGCATCGGTTGCTGTTGGTTGGTAGAGAACCTTCCTATAGAGCGCTGGAGATCAGTTTCAGAAGGTGCCAACATCGAGGATCGTTCATTATTAAACTTTTCTCCATATTTTGTTTCGCGGCAGATGGCTCAAGATACGGCTCTAAAGAGGGCCACACCAATTTTGAAGTCAGAGTGAAACCCGAAGGATCTTAACTTACATTTCTTTTGTTTCATTCGACCCAGTGAATCTCAGCGCACGGACAATATGATGTTCTATAAAGTTGGAGCACCTTTCAGAACTGCTAATTTACCTAATCTTAGCTCCTTGCTTTCATAACGAGGCTCCTACGACTTCCATCTAGGCTGCGTTCTATTGCGCAACGGTTGTGAAGTATGCAAAAATGCACATTGACGTAATATCATCGTGAGTGTCTGAACGGTAACTCAACCACGCAGTTTTTAACCGATTTGTTTCTGGCGTTTCATGTCCCCTGGGCATGGAATTATCCATCTTCGCCTCACGATTTTTTTTCCAGCGTATTGTCTGTTGACGTGTGGATTTCTGGTCCTTTGAAAATTGGCAACGAATCGATCCGCCCAAAATGAACAGAGTGCATGTGCTAGTTCTACTGATGACCCTTTGGTAGTTTCAAACCATCTCACTTTGTGATGGCAATACATGTGTAAGATATTCACTGAAAACAAGTGGCCACTACCCATTTCGAAACTTCGCCGTTAAGTGTCCGTGGGACCTTCTTTGTACGCCTTTACTGTATGATGGCAGCAGCTGTTTGGCAATTACATAATTGAACACAACGCGAAGCAACAGAATTAGAAAGGTCGAAACTGTCCAAATGAGGACCCCCGACTCTTGGCTTCGAATATATCCCCTGCTGCAGAAGAACCGAACAACCAAGTTCGACCTCCAGAATAGGTTATTAGCACTTCATTGCTCAAACGTGTCTGGTGAGTTGTTAAAATTTCAGTACAGAAAATGTGGCAATATAGTTGACTGGAAAGTTGGCTTTCAACTCCGCATGTGCCGGGTTCGAATCCACTCAAGAATTCGAATCCAT